GATCCTCACTAATCTGAAATACACCTAAATATGTTGTTGAATACGTTTTTTTTTCCAACAGAAAAATTAATACAATCTGTGCAAATAAGAGTGAATCTTAGTAAAATTTTGCGCTCTACACGATGAGATAGGTAAAAGATCTCAGAAATGTACATTAAGGTTAAGTTGCACGAACTTTCCGGACAACCTGATACCTGGTAGAATAAGTTTATCTTTACAGCAAATAAACTTTGCAAATAAAAGAATCATTCGTTATATTAAGATAAAGTAATATTTAACTGTGATAAAAGACAAGGACGTAGTCACTAATATCTTTCATCACTAACTAGTCGAGAGAGAGAGAGAAAGAGGAGCGGTTAACCTCTTACCTACATTATACTCATTATCAGTATATATGTGAAAGGTGTTATATCATGTCGGCTGCATTTAGAGATCTTTTTAAATATTTATATAATATTTAACACTCGCAGATATCAAAGATAGATAATTGAAGAAAGTAATATCATTACTATTCTTCAGAAGAATTTCATCGAGACTTAGATCACTGTCTTTTAATTTCTTCAAGTAGAAATATAGTGATGAAAATAAAACCAGAAGCTAGTATTCTAATATATGTTCATTGATAAAGTCTTTTTTATGCTATCGATGTACAAATATCTTACATATTACTTTTTTACTATATATATATAATAAATATTTAATCGCGTGAAGGTAGTACAAAAAGAATGACAAAAGAAAATTAAAATAGAATCTAAACTTATAAAATATTCTTTTAATTTTTTTTTCGTTCAAGATAATAATGCGATTACCTATTATCTTACTGTTTTTATCGGCTGTGATATCTTACAGTCATGGTAAACAACCTCGTGGTTCTTTAAATATATTTGATGTTAAACCAACTGTTGGACAACCGTGGCCAAAACCACAAACAATTAAAACAACTTCACAACAATATGCTGTACATCCATCTGCCTTTCATTTTATGGTGAATTCAACAAGTCAATCATGTGATCTACTTACAAGTGCATTCGATCGTTATTATAGAATTATTTTTTTT